ATTTAAAATGCAGGGACATAGCGGTTGCGGCGGTACCGGCCGGTAGGCCGGTTTGTATTGTCTAATGACAAAAAAACTGTGAATGTTGTGTATAAAGACATTCTGTAGTATATTTAGTATGTTCAGGGGGTATCTTTTGAAGATTTCCCCTTCTCGATAATAATCTTAACAACAAAAAAATATATATATTTAGTATCAGCATTGCACCCGTGCGAAGCTGGGGCGGGTCGCTAGTACATAATAAGAAACCACAGAATTGTTTAACCTCGAAATCCCCCATTTATTCTAAATACCACATCTTTTATGTGTACATTTTGACCTTTTGGCTTATAGTTTCCGAACACTCTGTATATAGTTCAATCAACACCAATTGTTCTAGCCATTCCATTACTGCTAACGTTTTCTTCGTTATTTATTCTACACTACTATTGGAAACCGGTAAATCGATGCAAGATAAGAACATTAGCAATTTAACTCCACTTCGGGGACGTACAAGAAACTTGAAAAGTGGTAAAGCAGTATATATGTTGATGAGCAATTTATCGTTACGTCAAGGCAGATAACATACCTATCCCTGCTTTATCGACTAAAAGAAGCACATTTACTTCTTTAACAAAACGTCGCTGCGAGAAATAAAATAAATCTGTCTGTCGCGGTACTTACTATAAGAAATTGCGTTACCTTCACAATACGCAAATAGGAGATGATACTTTTATTAGATGAAGGCTTTCTTCTACAAATATTTCAAAGCATGCGTATATACCTTAATATTACTGTTAAAGTGTTTAAGTGGGTCCTTGGCTGGTTCAAAAACTAACTGAATCATATATATGTACAGGGTAGTCCGTTAANGTATTTGTTTATTATACGAAAACCGTCTTTCATTTCCACAAAAAAAACGAAATGACTTTCCGAACAACCCGATAGAACAACCCGTATCCTTAACTATTTGCGAACAGTAATCTAATATAGGTCTACCTCTATCCCTCCATCAGACCATTGGGCCCTACAAGAAATGTTTTCAATTCTAATTTAATATAAAACCACACAAACACAAGTATTAGGCCGGTATGCATCCTAAATATGAAAAGTAGCGGTGGTACGATTTAGATTATGGTACGATTTACCCGACCTTACCCTATCTTACACCAAATGATACTAAATCGATCAAAGCAGTGCTCTCTTTGATGTGCAGTCGAACGTTAAGTGAATGCAACCAAACGAATCTCAAACAACAGGTCAAAGTCATCTCACTTACATAAAGTCTCGTCTAATGACTTGAAAAGGTTGAACAATAAGATGGAAGATGTGAATCCACTGACACAACGGCTTATGACCATTAAGAAGTTCAAAGTCAATGAGCCAACAATTTTTATCATGTAAACAAAACAATTGATAAAAAGAAAGGAATCAACCAGTAGTTTAACAATTGACACTCACGCACATTGCTCAAAAAAAAACCGATTTGGTATCTATTGATGTGAGATATCACTACATAGTATAAAACAAAGTCGTTTTCCCGCTGTCTGTCCCTATGTATGCTTAAATCTTTAAAACTGCACAACGGATTTTAATGCGTTTTTTTTAAAGATAGAGTGATTCAAGAGGAAGGTTTTATATGTATACAATACATGCATAATATAGTAAGGAAACACAGAGGTTTCTAATGTGATGTCGTAAATAAACACATTTTTGCGCTTACATTGCAAACGCTGGCTGAACCCTACGAAATAGATCAAAATAATGTACTACAGTATTGTACATCTTAAAAAGGTCTACAAAAAAGTCCGCGATGGTATATGCTATCTCTTAGGGATAACCCACAATAACCATTTTTTATCCTTTACTTTTTATGAGAAATAATGACTTATTTACGAAGCGATTGTAAGCAATACAGCATTAATTCTTATCCAATTAAGTACTTCAAATACATCGTGCATTTAATATACATCAATATGGCTCTGTACAGCATGTAATTTAAATGAATATTTTCGAAGATATTACAGATTTAAAATGCAGGAACATAGCGGTTGCGGCGGTACCGGCCGGTTTGTATTGTCTGATGACAAAAAACTGTAAATGTTGTATATAAAGACATTCTGTAGTATATTTAGTATGTTCAGGGGGTATCTTTTGAAGATTTCCCCTTCCTTCTCGATAATAATCTAAACAAAACAAAAATATACACATTTAGTATCAGCATTGCACCCGTGCGAAGCTGGGGCGGGTCGCTAGTACATAATAAGAAACCACAGAATTGTTTAACCTCGAAATCCCCCATTTATTCTAAATACCACATCTTTTATGTGTACATTTTGACCTTTTGGCTTATAGTTTCCGAACACTCTGTATATAGTTCAATCAACACCAATTGTTCTAGCCATTCCATTACTGCTAACGTTTTCTTCGTTATTTATTCTACACTACTATTGGAAACCGGTAAATCGATGCAAGATAAGAACATTAGCAATTTAACTCCACTTCGGGGACGTACAAGAAACTTGAAAAGTGGTAAAGCAGTATATATGTTGATGAGCAATTTATCGTTACGTCAAGGCAGATAACATACCTATCCCTGCTTTATCGACTAAAAGAAGCACATTTACTTCTTTAACAAAACGTCGCTGCGAGAAATAAAATAAATCTGTCTGTCGCGGTACTTACTATAAGAAATTGCGTTACCTTCACAATACGCAAATAGGAGATGATACTTTTATTAGATGAAGGCTTTCTTCTACAAATATTTCAAAGCATGCGTATATACCTTAATATTACTGTTAAAGTGTTTAAGTGGGTCCTTGGCTGGTTCAAAAACTAACTGAATCATATATATGTACAGGGTAGTCCGTTAAGCGCGCCTTGCTCTCTTGCCGTTGAAATTGGAAGAAATGTTTTCAATAAAAAATGTCCCTGATTAAATCATCCATCTGCAGAAATTAATTTCAGAATTGGCGAACTTCTGGATATACCGGAAGTATATATTAGCTGCATTATTTTAAATGGAACACCCTGTATATTATTACATTTTTGAATTCAGCATCAATTTTAATATCCGGCAATCTTTTATAACATTAATTGTTTGTGTTGTGTTGTGGTGAGTTTAGGTAATTTTATCAATAATTCCAATAAACATGACAAAATCTGTTTAATAATAATAAATAATAATGCAAATCGCAATTATTTTGAAAACCGTCAAGCGTAGACCCTAATATGTTTTAATAAAATCGAAAGAGAATTTATGAATGTAGCTTCCCATTTGAAAAAAAAATGAATTATTGATGTTTGAAACAATACTAGTGTAATTATTTAATGTGTTTTGAAAGAAATTTTTAGATGGAAAGCCAAGTACGTTTCATGCTCTTTTAAACAGCGACAGCCGCATCTTTTTATCGAGTATAATTGCGGATATATTAAAATTTTTACAAACATCAAATATTCTAGAAATTACTAAATGACTCCCAAAAAGATACCGCGCAGGCAAAAACTATGCTTAACAAACTGGACATTAAAATCGATGCTAAAATGATAAAATTCAAAAATATAATAACATACAGGGTGTTCTATTTGAAATAAGGCAGCTGATGTATACTTTCGGTATATTTGGAAGTCTGCCAATTCTGAAATTAATTTCTGCAGATAGATGATTCGACCAGGGACATTTTTTATTGGGAACATTTTCTCCCAATTTCAATAGCAAGACCGCTAGAGAGCAAGGCGCGCTTAATGGACTACCCTGTATATAAATACAAAATACTACATTTTAAATTAAATCTTCCATTTACTGAAATAGTGATTAGAGTTTTAAATAGCTTGACGATTCTACAGTTTTGCAGCTTTTTTTGAAGAAATCATCATTATATCCAATGAGTTAAACGATATCGCCTTCCTAATTTGACTCAACTCAATCGAACTAAAACTAAAAAAATATCTGAAACTCCAACGCCAAAACATGACACTTTAGTTGTCCGAAGCACTTTTCGGTAACACGATTACCTTCTTCAGGGACTGAGTTCACATCAGTGTCGTGTTTTGGCGTTGAGGTTTGAGCTATTTTGTTTGCTCTACAACAACTGCCAAAGTTTTTCCAGTCTTCATATTTCGAATTAAAACGGTCTTCGCATTTCCCTAAAACTAGATCACACATCCTTAACTATTTGTGAACAGCAATTCAATCTCTACTCCTCCTAACTCCTCTTTCTGCCTCTAATATGTCTCTGACTAGCCCGTCATGCCTGAGAAGGTGTCCTATCAACCTAATATCTCGCATATTTCTTATTGACTTCGATAGAGTCCTCTGTTCTCTTATTCTTTCTAAAACCTCTTCATTTCTTACCTTCTGTATCCACGGTAACCTCATCATTCGTCTGTAACAGCACATTTCGAACGCTTCTAACCTTTTCAGTCCACTAATGAACTATAATACTTAGGATTCGATAATTAATGTACCTACTTATAATTTTGTGATTTTCATAGCTAATTGAAAAAATCCGCTTATTGTTACCTGCATGAGGTAGAAACTGCAGTTATTACTAAGAAGAGGAGACGCTAAATTTCCCTGAAGAGCTAATATAAAGATTAAAACTATTGTAACGTACAAATAACTCAATTTGTTTCAGTTTGAAACCGACGGATAAACTTGCAGAAAGTTTACCAGAAGGCGACATATGGATTGTTAGAAAGGCATTGGGAGAAGCTAAAGAAGGAGAACAAGTAAGCAATCACAGTTCACAACACACAATCAGAAAAACTTTCAGACTCTCCGTCTTGTTATAAATGTTCGTAAAAGTTGTTACTTTGTGCTTCAGCAGCGCCTTTATCGTTATAAGTGTAAAGCACGCAATAGTTCAATGACGTAAATGTATAGGGAATAGGGTGACCACACGAACTGCCTCCAGAAAATTGACCAGAACACTTTGAAAGCTTTTCAATACAAATGTCTAAAGGATTTGACTGATACAGTTATATGAAATTTTTATAGAAACAATGAGACAGGCATCTTGCAATTTTAGTAAAATTACTTTTTGAGTGTTTATGTCATTAAGTACCTTTTTGCCTATGGTTATATGTAATCCGACAGAATCTTTGCCTCATAGAGGGACCAGCAGATAATGTAGGTACGGTGAATAGTTGTACCCACACGAAAAATTCCGTGTGGAAGGTATCGTTTTAGTCAATCTTATTTACAGCAGTAGTACCTGCTGTAATGACAAATTATTTTGTATATATATTAGGATGCTTCAAACAAAATTTTTAATTTTTTTTTCTAACTCTTACCCCCTCCAATGTTTCTATTTGATGTAAAAAGAATCCTCGCCAAACATGAGCCCTATAGCTCAAATCTAAGGGGTCGCTATTTTTATTTTGGTTTCCCATTTAATTAACATAGGAAAAATCCCTTTTTGTTTTAAATTGAATTTACACATAAATTACCGTTTCATATTCTCAAAGTTGAGTCTTTGAGCTTTACAAAACTCTAAGACAAAGTATGATTATCTTTACAAAAAGACTAGTTTAAGCCATTTAAAGATTACTAAATTTTGAAATTTGTAAAAATAGCTTGCAATTATTTTCTATAGCTAATATAGCTCATGTTTGGCGTGGATTTTTTACATCAAATAGAAACATTTGAGGGGGTAAGAATTTTGTTTGAAGCACCCTAATATCTATCATCTTTTTCACCTTATTATTTTAGGAAGATGATGCTCTAAAAATTGCTCAAGCCAAGGTAAAGGAAATGTACCGAAAAAGAATATTAAGTACATACCAAGTCGACTATTGCCATGGACGTAAGTTACACTACAGTTATATAATAACAATAAGGAGTAATTCATAAATGGTCCCTTCACTATTTGTCAATGACTGCTAATCGAATCAAATAGGTTCTCACAGCCTGAAGTCGCTTAGGATTTTGTAATGTTTAATTTTTTAAAATTTATTTCAATTTCAAACAACATTTTGACTAATCTACAATTTATAAAATTATTCTCAAATGTTCTACAAAATAATAAATTACTTTAAGGTAGGAAGTTCCGTCAAGTCTTTAAATTCCTTCGAAGTAGCTAATGTATTAAACTAATTACGGTAATGGATTTGAACTTTCTGGTTACTATAATTTTGCCGCAACCTCTCAAATAATGTCGCAAAATTTGATCTCTTTTCCGTCTTTCCCCATTAAGCCTTGACGGAATGGATTGTCCTTTATTAGTATGATAAAAATCCTTTCTTTTATAATTTTGTTCAAAAGAAACGTTATTGAATCATTTGAAGGAATTATTTTGCTGCATACAAAAAATGATCGTTACTTTTAGTGTTAAAAGGCGATGAAGTTCCTATTAGTGCCGAAGATTTGGAATTTCAATTGATAGAAACCTGTAGAGAATATTATAAGCCGAGAACTCAAAAAATTATGCCACCTCTGCCTACATCCCGAAGGTGTAAGTAATTATTACTAACATCGAAGTGGGAAGTTATAGTATTATTAAATGACAGCTGTCATTCTGCATGCGAGTACATTATTTTTTTTTTGCTTTGTCAATCGAATAGTAACTGCGAAATGCAGGTTACTACTAATCGTAACGTGTGCAATTGACCTGTCTGTGTACCAGCCGTTGCGAAGGTCACGAGTAGGTAAGCGTGTTTCGTCACTTGATTATTCCTACTTTGAAATTCTAAAATTAAAAACTATCGCAATCGAAAATTTTTCTATTCAAGATTCAAATAATTCTTGAATTTGTATTCGAATATTTCCACCATTATTATTTTCTAACTTTCTTTTTTTTATTGTGGTCAAAACACTTCAATTACGTGGTTAAAAAAGAAATTAAATTACGGTTTTTAAAGCAAAAGCGTATAAAGCTTACGAAGACGGTTTCTAAATGAAACGGAAGTTATTACTGATACAATCATTAGTAAATGTGGCGTAGTTTAAAAAAATGGTGCATTTACTGCAAGAATAATAGACTCACTTTATTCTAAACAAATAGCATTTAATTTAAACTGGGAATTATCAGGAAAGAAGAAAACCAGATCAATTTGACCCAGCGATAAGAAAAGACGATTAATTTATTGATTGTAGGTACCAGTACATATTGCCTGCTTTAACGTAATCCTCGCAATTTTTCCCACAAAGTGCTGCATGCTGCAACAAAGCCAAGATGATTTTACACCTAAATCCTAAAAAGTTTTAAGTATTTCGACGGATTGACATAAATACAAATATGGGTAGAGTAAATACAACCATAAGACATTAAGCAATAAAGAATCCTAATCCTCACTAATATTATGTATGTTACTATATAAGTTTGTTTGTTTATTTGTTACGTTTTTACGTCTTAACTACTCAACTGATCATCATAAAATTGTGTACACAGATAACCAGGGGTATAGAAAAGGACATAGGATACTTTTTATCCAAAAAAATAATATTGATCCAGAGATATCGGAATGTTAGGTTTATGTGATCGATTTCACCCCTTAACTACTCGATCAATCAATGAAATTTTGTACACATATTGTCAAGGATACAGACAAAGGATACCTTTTATCCAGAAAACTATTACTGCTCCCGAGGGTTAGAAAAATTAGATTTATATATGGTCTATTTCACGCCTTAACTACTCCACCGATCATCATGAAATTTGAAATATTGTACACACATTGTCAAGAACACAGAAAAGGCCATACCTTTTCATGAAAAAATACTATTCCCGAGGGATAGAAAAATTAGTTTTATGCGGTCGTATATGATCTTTGACCCGTATTTTAGACATAAACTCGAGCAAACGCGCGGGTAAAATCTAGTTTACGATAAATTGAAACTACAGTTTGTTGGTTTTGGCAGTCCCATCGTTTAGGACCATTGACACTAGTTTAATGATTAAGCTTTTTAGTTTATTATAACAAATGTGATTTAAGGTAAAATATATTATTACCAACGTATCTGCAAGTGCGGGCCAATTCTATAAAACGGACTGAAAGCAATAGCACGGTCATAAATCATATGCCGAATGACACATACGCGACCCCGTAACAAAAGGATTGCGAGAGCATTCCAGAAAATTGAAGAACTACCAAGAAAATTTGTTAGAGTATTTTGTTTCAATTTGCATATGTACTTTACTAACTGTAAAAAATATCTACAAGTGTGAAAAACTGTTGAACATACAAATAGCTGTGAGGTTATCAATGTGCTCTGATATTAACACGATTTTAAAATACTTAGAAGTAAAAAGTAAAAACGCAAATCAAAAACTGGTTAAAAAATAAGGTACCTACCTAATTGACAGAGTTTTTCAGCACGTTGGATAAAAAAGGTAAATTAAGTAAATTTAAAATGATGTTACTGGTCTATAGATTTCTTTAAGCCCATCCCATACAATATACAATATTTTTACAATTTCATGTTAAAGGGATATTGTATTGTAGCGAACACGAGCGTGATTGTGTGTGATCGGGCATACGTTTGTGTGAACGGCTTATTGATTCGCCGACTAGCCGCGGGCGCTTTTCTTCATGTGCGCCGTATCTGTAAACGTGTGTGTCGTACCTGCGTTCCGTGAAAGCAATTAAACCCTTCAAAGAAAACGAGACTTCTCTGGACGGCTGGAGAATGTTCCCGAAAGGAGGCAAGGGAGTATAAAAAGTAAGAGACGATCGCCGAAATGTGGAAGAAATAAATTGACCGTTGCAGAAGTGAATTAAGAAATAAATTGACAGTGATAGAAGTGAAATAATTAGAACAGTGGATAGTAACAGTAGTGTAAATAAATAGAATAATTACCTAAGTTTAGTAATAATTTAATAGTGTTTTTAAGTTCAATAATAATTAGTGTAAATAAATAGTTTTCTTCGTAAATGTTAATTTTGTTAAACCCACGAATGTTACAGTATCTACGTTTATCAGGATCTTTGAATGAGGGTTTTATTGCGCTATGAAAAGTCATTGCTTGCGAAACAGTGCCTTATTATTTTCCTTATCAAACGACAGTTCTAATAAATAATTGTTATTTTTTTCATATTTTACAGTACTTGGGTATATTCGTCCAACCAATATGTACACACCACTAACAGAATACCAGGCAGTTTATGGTTATGCAGGTTACAAGATATTGGAAAAGAATATTGAAAAAATGAAGGAAATATCCAAACGTACAGTGTGCTAATAGTCCCAATTAAAAATATATAAATACTTTTAGTGATTACAGTAAATGTGATTCAGTATTTTTTTAGAGCTCTAAGATAGATATTTACATTGTGTATGTATAATAACTCAGTGTAACGAACTTCTTCGAATTGTAATTCGAAACATTGGTAAATAATAAACTGTTACATATACCTAGCATTAATTTTGTTAAAATCAATATCGTCAAAATAATATGGACACAGTTACAGTACGCCGAAGTTAGTGCCTCAATTATTCTTTTTTTTTTTGAAATTGACTTTTTGATTAATGTGTAATAAACAATGAAGTATTTTCGACTAGATCAACATTACTTGATTATTTTAATACTTAATGAAAGATTTAGAAATTGGAAAGAGATTTTTAAAAGTATAGGTCTGTTGCAAGCCACTGTACGGGTGCGAAACGTGAAACGTGGACGTGGCGGAAAAGGTTAATAGAGTTCAAAACGTGGTGTTACAGGCGAATGGTAAGGATAATGTGGATAGAAAAGATTAGAAATGAGTAGAGATGTGCAAAATGGTTTTCTCAAAGTATTTAAATACAAAATACAAATACAAATACTTTTTGGATTTGTTATTTCAAATGTGCAATAGAAAATAGATTTCCCTTTTGTATTTTAAATGCTGAATGTAAAATACGTATCTTCAAAGTACTTTTTCAAATAAATACTTTTTTTAGTACCTACAAACCTACATTTACTTTTTAAGAAAAGCTTGCAGGCATTTGCTCATTTTTTAAATATTGGAGTATTTTCTAGAATCTAGATTAATAGTGGTGTTTACATTATATCGCCAGTTGGGAAGATTGAGTATAATTCATATTTTTCTGTTTGAAGTGACTGAGATATAGTTTTTATATCTTTGTGTTATAGTTTTTTCAGTTAAGTAACAAATAATTCTTCCATATGCTTCCTTATCTACCTTTGTCACCCATTTTAATTGAAAAAAACATGCCAAAACAGTTGCTTTAGCGTGAAAGATCAGAGAAAAAAACAGGGTTGCAAATAATTTTATTGATGTAAAATCAACATCAATCATTTTATATCAAAATATTTACAACCCCATTTTGTTTCTGATCTTTTACACATTGTAATAAGAGAAAGAAATGGAATCCACAGTTTCTTTAGCTTT